ACACTACCAGTGTATGGTAACCCCAACCATTCCTAGCACACGGGGTAATTTAGAAACAAATAAACAGACAGCATGTGTCACAGTAAAAAACATCCATTGTAAAAAGTGGAATCTAAATTATATTATTATTATAAATTTCTTCCCTCTCTCTATCCTGGCCAACCTCCACACAAGTTGCCAGCTGCACAAGCATGTCTCAGATTCCACTCACCTTTAGTTTGGCATAATATCTTTAAACTTGCTGATGGAAGGTTAAAACTTTTACAAACATCTCCCAGTATCTGTTGATGTAATGTTGACAAATGTCCCCTGGCACCAAGGAGTTAAAATATGTGAACATTAAGTTCACAAAACTTGTACACAAGCATTTGAGAAACAGATAGAGTGAAGTACAACTAAATTTATTATACTTACTGATTTAAATCATTATTATAGAGCTGTGCACTTGCTCTAAGGCCACCTCTTTATTCTGTTATGATTTATTTGTTTATGAACTTTTTCTTCAGTTGAAAAAAAAATAAAGGTAGTGTTTTTCTAAGTGTGTGTTAAGTTGATTATTTATAACATTAAACTATTCCAGAGACTGAAGTGACCATACCTATAAGTATCATATGTTATTAATAAGACAGTTTATATTTATTTTATGCTCTTACTTTTTCCAGGATGCCATTCAGTGATTGTGATTCATGAGCATAGTAAATGAAACATTTGTATCAACAGTTGTAAATAAATCTCACATTTTTCCAGTCTTTCATTCTTCTGCAAATGATGTGCAATGTGAAATTTGTCTTTACTGAAGAGTTGCATTTTGATGGTAGTGTTAGACTACTACAACAGTTCAAAAAAATGTATCAGCAAGGTACAAATGAAAATGAGTTGTAAGACTATTTCTTTGCTTATCACCAAATAACCAAATGAATAAACTACCTGACAATATAACTACCTAGTAATTTAAGAGGAATGTGCCATAAATCTAAGGCTAAGAAAATAATGGGAAAACTAACTTTTCCATTGAAAATATGTTCAATGACAAAAGATGGTGATGGATATATATTAAGCTGGTGAAAAAAGAGTATATATAGTAAGGAATACAGTGAAAAACAAGTCCTGATACTAGATTTGTGATATATTAATGATATTCCAAATATGTGATTCTTGGAAGCAATTTTCATGTGTTCTTGCACTCCTATGACTGGAAGAGGCCAACTGAATTGGAAAAAGTTTCTTGAACTTTGTTCAAAGATTACTTTTTAAAAATATATATTAAAGATTCTTCTGGAGTTTGAGAATAAATTGTGATTTTCTTACAACTCAAATTTCAGATTAATTGTTAAAGCTCTAAGAAAATTACTGTATGTTCTTGATATAATTCACATATGCATTCAGTTCAGATTATATAATCAAATGAAAAAAGGAAAACTCTATATTGGTAAATAATCATAATAGAAAAAAACGTGCACAAGTTCCTTACTGATAAACTGTCTGAAATCATTTATAGTATATATTTTGGATTATTGTAACTACCTGATAACTTAACAACCTAATGATTTAACTGTTCACTGACCTGACAAACTAATAATAACTACCCAATGACTTAACAACCTAATGACTTCACGGCCCAGGCAGCTTACAATTTAACTACCACACAACTTCCAACTGAATTACCAAACAACATAACTACCCAACAATATAATCTAACTATAACTATAACTGTTGCTAGGGGCAACTAACAACTGAACTTCTTAATGGCACAATTGCCTAATGACTGAGCTACTTCACAGCCTGAAAATGAAATAAATAAATTATTTCAAGACAGCCCACCAGATAAGGATCACAAGCAGGCCTGCTGCATGAAGATGACTCCCTGTGATGCCTGATAGAAAATGCTGGTCTTAGAAAACTAGAATTACTAGAAGTATTTGCAGTTTATGACATAATAATTCTCCGAATAGGATTTATAATGCAACAAGCACAGATTTGTTTCAAGTAGGGTTTAAGGTAGTTGTCGTGCTGTTATCGCCAAGCTGACTAAATACCAGTATTAAGTAGGTGTTAGACCAACTTTATTAGTCTAATTAACACCAGTTCTGAATAGTTTAGTATCTTTATCTTATTCCTTCTGCAGAACCCTAGTTAGTATTACTTTGAGAATATTGCAGAACACCTGTTTTGATATCCATTCTTCAAGAGCTGACAAAAAACTGCTACAAGAATGGACTAGTTTCTATAATTCCTTTATAAAATAAATATCAGATTTTATAAACAATTATAAGACATCATATTTTGGTAAATTCTTACTGGCTTTTACGAAACATTTCTTTATTTTGAGGTTCATATGAGATCTTATATGAAATCAAGATGATATAAAATGTTTTCATAATATATTAAACTAAGGCTGTCACTAAACACAAACCTTAGAAGTTTATATATCAGGATGCTTTACTGTATCTTTCCTGTTTTATTAGTTAAACTCTTCTCCTAATATATTCATTCACCTTTG